GACTGGGAATTGTGAAACGCCCAGTATACGGAAAATGTATGAAAATAAATTAATACACTTGAAACAATTTAAATATGACGGTAATTAAATGCAAACAAATAAATGAGCTTAAAATTGTCGGTGCCCCTTCGTATCTTAATAACCAAGCGATGGGAAACGAAAATTCTCGCTTACTGATAAATATGGTTTATTTACGCGGTGTTTTGAACGGCGACCACGATGGTCGTAGAAAATAATATTTTTGAATTTTGCCCAGAGTCTATCGAGAGCGTATATGTGAATTTAATTTTACAGAAGTCGTCTGGCTTCATTCAATAACTAACTGTGGACGGGGAATGATTCAAATAAGGCTGAATAAAAAAATTAAAAGAAAATAAATTTTACACGAAGTTAGGCGCGGAAATTAATTTAAACATCTTTTTGGGAAATTAGACAACGTCATCAGGAGAGAGAGCTCTCTAACCCAGGAAACGGATCGAACCTCCGAAAAGAAAAAAAAAAAAAAACAATAAAATAATAAAAAATCGAAAACAGGTCGAATCTCTCACTTCGATGTTAACTGGGCGGTTTTTAAAAGAAATTGGATATAGTCGCTGACAAAGAGAGCATTCGGTGTCTAGTCTAGGTCCAACCTCAAATAAAAAATTGCCAACGGTTTCCCACTGAGGGATGAAATAATATATCCTATGTGAATCAAAATTCTTCACTTGTCACACGGGTGTCCCAACTAATTATATAAAAGCCAATATAAAAAAATAACATACGGTTCCTACCTTAGCAGATAAACGGGGTTAATCGATAAACTAAATCACGGTACTCACGGCACTAGGTACTAACTAAGGGTGAATAGTTTTCGGCTGTCGGCAATTAAGAGAGTAGAGCTTACGGCGGCTGGAAAGCGAGCAGAGGGCGTAATTCCCAGATGGGATTTAATTTATGCTTTTTCGGTAAAGCAAGATGGAAGACCAGTAGGTCCGAGTAGGGATACCACCACTACAGCTGACTGTTTACAATTTAGAAATATAAAAAATGTCCTTCTAGTACCTTGACAATTAAAAGTAGATAATCCATACGAAATCGACTCTAAAAATGCCCATTCAGATTTCGGCAAATATAAGAATATTTTAATCTACGAGGGTACTCGCAATTGTTGAAAAACGGTAATTCCTGGGAAACAGAAATACGGGGGAACTTCTACATGTTCTCAGGCGGGAATTAATTGAAATATACATTTTTAAGATGAATTAAAAATCAAATTTAGTGACTTCGTCACAATGTAAAAATCAATAAACCTTGAAATACGTCAGTATTTACTTCATGAATTACATATCCAATTTTCAAGTTTCTATTTAAAAAAAATCGATATCCATGGCATACAGTATACAGGGTGTCCCGAAATTAGACGGTCATATTTTAACAGCGTAATCTACATCCTAAAACAGGAGTAAAAGATCATATAAACATAGGTCCGAAAACGTTTCTTTTCCGAGATACAGGGTGTTAAAAGTGAAGTCCTGATGACACATTTTTGTAAATATTTTCTAAACGCTTAAAGATAACTAAATTATATTTGGTACAAATGCTTAACTTTTTATTCTCTATGTCTTAGTTTTTGATTATCTTCATAGATGGGTAAATTAGGGGGGGGCTTGAGGTAAAATTGCCCTAAGTTTTTTTGTTGTCAGTTTTTAACATTTTTGACTAAAAAATTTGAAAACCCAATGTTTTCTTTACAAAAAAGCTACTTTTGCTGCATCTCGCTAGGACGCACCATTTTCAAGAAAAAGCATTTGAAAATTTTATGATGAGTTCATATTATTTTATTCGAAAGTGCAGACAATAATTAGCAGGCCTGTGGAATCAGAATTTTTTTTTCAGGTTTGGAAAACCGGTGACTAAAGAAATTTATTTAGCTTTAATTTAATGTTTATTTTATAAAAAAACTTTAAATGGTAAAACTAAATAGTATTTAAACTTAAACTAATCAATTGTTTTTTTTTAATGGTTTGGTTGGCTTTTGCCCAATAAAATGATTGATGAGAATTTATTTCTTTAACTGCCGACGTTTAAACTCTTTTAGGGTAATCCTTAGGATGGTAAAAATAAATCAGATACGTTAAATATCGTAAAATTATAGCAAAACTGTATTTGAAATTAAGAATAGCTGGTAATTTCTTGAAAATATGAAGTTTGACTGAGTTAGAGAAGAAATCATTAGTTACCTACTTTTAATGATTGCAAATGCTATTTGATAATAATTTTAAGTTTTTTAACGTGAAGTATCTACTTTTATTTTCCTAAGGATGACTTAAAATAAGTTAAAATGACGACGATAAACAAATGATTCTCAAACATTGTTTTTGTCTATACTACTAAAAATTCTACTAAAAATAACAAAAATTCTACTAAAAATAACAAAAATTCTACTAAAAATATCAATTTATACAACAGTTAAAGTAAATGTTCAAAAACGTTGCCTTGCTGACGAAGGCACATTTCGGCTCTACGGGTAATTGCATGTGAAGCTCGCATTACTTCAAAATTATTTTGCCGAATTTCATTCCCTGCCAAACGTATCCTTTCACGCAACTCTTCCTCACTGTCAACTTCTGTAGCGTATACCATATCTTTTATACGACCCCAAAAGTAATAATCTAATGGATTTAAATCCGGAGATCGAGGTGGCCACGGTATGGGAACACCTCTTCCTATCCATCTACCCGGAAATCTTTAATTTAGCCAATTTCTCACATTAACGCCATAATGGGCTGGCGCTCCGTCGTGCTTAAAGTGCAGCTGATGTCGAATATTTAATGGGAGATTATCCAGAATGGGTTCAAGGTGAGTTTGTAAAAAAATCAGATACTCAATTGAATTTAACCGAGCAGGAATTTCAATCGGCCCAATTAATCTGTCATTGATTACTGCCGCCCAAACATTAATAGAAAATCTATCTTGAAAAAATCGACGTCGCACCACCCTAGGATTTTCTTGTGAATAAAAATGGTGATTGTGAATATTAAAAACACCATCTCTATTTTTTATGTATGTTTAGCGATAATGCTTTACCACCTTGTCCGATTTATATGATTATTTTTTTGTTAGTAAGGGCATACCTCAGGGGTAGTCCCATATAAATTTGGTTAAGGTGTGGTGATGGCATCTACACGTTTTTTAAGTCGGTTTGTTTAAATTTTTAATTTCTAATACTTGTACTTGTAAGTTTGAGCAATAAAAACTAAGAATCATAAAATAGTATAAAGAAAAAGGGACGTAATTATTACTTACTATTGCTCGTGGTATTTCTGAAAGGGTGAAAACAGTTCGAATACTCCTTCGTTGGGTCCTCTTCAAATAAATTAAGGGCGTGTTCCAAATTGTTGTTCCCATGTGGTCTCCCTTGTCCACGATCACGTTGAAATGAACCATGGGCAACAAAATTTCTATGTATATTAATAAATACACGGTAGTCAGAAATTCTTCAGTTAGGAAACCGTCTACGGTATGCTCGTACCGCTGCTCTTGCCCTTCCATTACACAAACCATATACAAAATGAATATCTGCCAATTCTCTATTTATTAGAAGTATTTTTCTTTCACGCAAAAAAAGCACAAATAATTACACAATTGACAGCCAATTTTTGTTTATCACAGCGTCTCAAAAAATTGAAAAGCAGCTATTGGATTCCAGGCCTACTAATTTTTGTTTGCACTTTCTAATAAGATAATATGAACTTATCATGAAATTTTCAAATGCTTTTCTCTTGAAAATGGTGCGTCCTAGCGAGATGCAGCAAGAGTAGCTTTATTGTAAAAAAAAACATTGGGTTTCCAAATTTTTTAGTCAAAAATGTTAAAAACTGACAACAAAAAAACTTAGGGCAATTTTACCTTAAGCTCCCCCTAATTTACCCATCTATGAAGATGAACAAAAACTAAGATTTAGTCCATTACATAGAGCGTAAAACGGTAAGCATTTGTACCAAATTTCATTTAGTTATCTTTAAGTGTTTAGAAAATATTTACAAAAATGTGTCATCAGGACTTCACTTTTAACACCCTGTATCTCGTAAAAGAAACGTTTTCAGACCTATGTTTATATGAACTTTTACTCCTATTTTAGAATGTAGATTACGCTGTTAAAATATGACCGTCTAATTTCGGGACACCCTGTATAGATAGGTCTTTTTTAATGTTCGTATTTGTTACTATTGTTTTAATCAACGACGAACAACTACTAAATTTTGTTTACAAAAATAGATTTGCAAGCATTCAATGTTATCCACGTAGTTGCTAAATTATTATGAGAGCATGTTACAAGGATTGTTTATGGTTATAATTCGAAATTGACTTAATATAAAGCTCTAAAATATACGAAAGGCTTTCAAAATTACATTGAAGAAGTAAATTTATATTATAAATGCTAGTTATCAGTTTATTGTATTTCTGTCATTGCAACGATCATAGAAAAAGGTGAGTTTATTTTGAAGTGTGACAGCAATGTAAAGCAATTGCCTTAGTCAAAATACTGATTCATAAAACGCGTGCTCACTCCTTAAATAAATAAGCTTCCACAAACCATTTCCACTAAATTTAGCAGCCGTCACTCTTTCTAATGCGGCAGCCAGTGTTTGCCTAATATAAAACACAATCTGAATACTTGAAATAAATGAGGGCTTAATTATGAATGAGTGGATCAGTCTAAAAACGTTGGTTTTTAATGGTTGTTTCCAGTTTTTTCCTTTGCATGTAAATTGTTAAATAGTGTGTGTAATGTACATTTTAAATAAAACTTTAAATTTTAAATAGCTATAAAATATATTTAGTGAATAGCAAAAAATAATTTAACTGACTTATAAGCTACTTAACCTTCTGATAGCCAGATAACTTTTGTTGCTGGACATAGTTGCTAATAAAGAACAAAATATTTTTTTATAATAAACAATTTCTTTTAGGCTATGTAGATGGTTGAACAACATTTATTAGAAATAACGTACGAATTTGAAACATAACTGTAGTTTATTAATAATAAAAAATATAATCCCTACTGTAGGTTTTATTGTTTTATTATAAATTACAGTAAATAGAAAATAATTATTGGCGATTTAAAAATCTTGATTTCCCCACCGAATCTGAAACAAATGCACAAAATTAAATTAAAAACAACAGATAAATATTACTGACAATAGAGAGTTATTGTAAGTTCACTTAAGGTCAGTCACTATTAGTGCCCCTCTTATTTTGACATCTGAGCATGCGGAGTTCACATACATTCTAGAATTGACTTTAATAAAGATTGTGCCTGTCTTTAATTGTGGATGTTTAAGGACCGAAGTTAGTGGCGACTTTATAGTTTTCGGATGCGCTTGCCAACATTCGTATGAGTTCAAAGTTTTTAATATTAAATATTTAATATCAGCGTCATCTAAACCTTCTAAAAAGGTAATTTCTAATGCCTCTTCCATATTATGTACTATTATAAACAACAAAAAAGATTAACTGTAATTTAACATTTTTAAAATGAGGTTAGAAATATATATAAGGACAAGAACTCTAATGTCAAAATTTCAGGTTTGCAATACTTAAGTCTTATTTTAGCATGGAATTTATTTGCCTCTAATTACGTTGTCACTATTAGTTGCTGACGTTATAGAAATTTGCAATAACTCTCTAAAATACCACTTTACTCACATCAGTTCTAGCTCTCAATTTTCGGTCAATAAGCCCGCACAGCGTCTCCGATCTTACTGAAAGAGAATCAATTTTTTCAATGAGTTGTTGATATGGTGAAAGAGGCTGAGCTCCCATCACGACATGCCCCAACTTAGAATCGATTTTGGCATCCAATCTGGCGTTCCTAATCAAATTCACGATCCAACACTCCGCTTCGTCGGGATTCATGTTCAACTTTTCTGCTAACATGCCGATGCTGATGCATTGATGGATTCTGCAGAACGTTTCGAAAATCATGAGCCGAGCGTTTTCAACGAACTCATCCAAGCAGGATATGAGGAAGAAGTCATTGAGCAATACCGTTTGGCATTCGTGAAGTTTCTGGCGGGCGCCGTCGAAATCGAAATTGACGTAAAGGTGTTCTAGGAATTCTGTTATAGGGTCTCTGAAAATATGTCACATTTTATTTCATTGTTCGGTGAAACAATCTGATGAATACAAGTCTAAAAATCACGACTTTCCAATCTATTTCTACCAAAATATGTATTACCTGTATGTGTAACTTTCTTGTTGTATAACTTTAACCAAATCCTTAAGGGCTGATCTCCTACCCCTGTTAATAATTACAGCTGTTGCCAAATATCTCAATATGTGAGGGCACATGGTCTGGATGGCATTAAGATAGTGGGGTCTATAGAGGAACAATTCGATGATTAGTTCTCGTCCCAAGGCATGATTGAAAAACACAAAAAGTGACCAATGAATCAGCCATGTTCTTTGCTGTAATGAAAAAAATAAGAATCATAGAGAATATATTATTTTACAAGGTCAATAAAATTTATATATTATACTATTAAATCGGTTTAACTTCTCATCTCTTGAGAATCGCAGGACAAAGATTTCATGTATCTTTATATATTATAAATAATTAATGAATAATTTAACTGATTGCCCAGAGCTCCTAGAACAAATTAATTTATATGTGCCTCGACTAAATAGGAAAAAAGAGCAGACATTTTACCTCTATATATTGCTCACCTATAAATATTAACAGATTTAACAGAAATGACAAAGTTAGTGTCTACTATAATAGCCAATGATATGCCCACCATTCTGCATGGCTCAAGAGGTCTTGGAGGTTTTATACCATGCTTTGAAATGTGGGCCCATTATTTCTACCAAACTTGTATAAGCGATTATAAGCTTCACATAAAAAAAAATTTCTTCGGTTGTAAGCATCTTGTTCACAGTGTTGTATACCCTGACACATAACAAGTTGACAGCAGTGTCACTTTCATAGCAACTCTGATTAGAGTTACAATTTCAGTACTATATATCAGTACAATATACAAGATAATAGAGAGATATTATTGCAAGTTCACTTAATGTCAGTCAATATTAGGGCCGCTCTTATTTTGACATCTGAGCATGCACAGATCGTTTATGTTCTAGAACTGACTTCATTAAAGATTGTGACTGTCCTTAATTGTGGATGTTTAAGAGCAGCAGATAGTGCCGACTTTATAGCTTTCATTGTCATCTAAACCTTCTAAAATGATAATTTCTAATGCATCTTCAATATTCATCGTACTTATATATCAGGTGGCAATATGTTAAAGTAAAATCCTCGAAAACCGATTATTTTCCACAATACTCTGGCGTTCCACAAGGTTCCATTTTTGGACCGCTATTTTTTATTATTTTTATTAACGACATAGGACAGCATCTAGACACTAAATTTCTAATCTACGCGGATGATTGTAAGTTATTTAAAAATATAAATAATATAAATGACTGCTTAGTATTAAAAAATAACGTTGAGCTGATTCAAAACTGGTGTAATTCTAACTGTCTAGAACTAAACGCGCAAAAATGTAACGCGATGACATTCACACGTAAAAAAAATGGAATCCACTACAACTAAGTAATTGGTTCTACGCGTTTAAACAAACCAAATTATATTAAGGACTTGGGAGTTACTTTTGACCCGAAGTTAAGTTTTGTTCCACACATTAACGACGTAGTTGCTTCTGCTTTTCGAATTCTTGGATTCATTCTCAGAAATATGAGTGATTTCAAAAGTATAGACACATGCAAAATGTTATTTAGTTCACTCGTTATATCCAAATTGGAATACGCAAGCGCAGTGTGGTCCCCAATATATGATGTTCATATTGCAAACCTAGAAAAGGTACAGAGACGATTCTTGAAAAGTCTCCATTTTAAAATTTAAGATTATTACCCCCCTCGCGGATTTCCACAGGATCAGTTGCTTCAAAATTTTAATTCTGTAAATCTTCAAGATCGTCGAGTAATGCATTCTATTTTATTTTTGTTTCAACTCATGAACTATAAAATTAATTGTGCCGAACTTTTGTCGTAAATACGTTTACGGGTTCCTCCTATTACCTCGAGACATCACCAAACTTTTTCATTGCCCATACCGCGAACAAACATTTTATTACAATCACCACTTTATCAAATTCAAACCAATTTTAATGCTCACTCTCAAAACATTGATATTTTCAATCGTAGAGAATGTGATATAAAAATTTGTTTAGGTTTCGGTAATACCTAGTTTTATCTTGTACGTCTTATTTTACTTCAGTTTTTATATTTAATGTGTCTAGTTCTAGTTTTACTTAGTTGTATTATTGTCCGAATTAGTTTTTTTTTTGTAAATTTAATATTTACGTTTTGATGTATTTAATGTATGTATGTATGTATGACATTTTATTTTTATTTTATTTGGAATGAATGAGGTTAGAATATAAGGACAATGACTGTAATATCAAAATTTCAGGTTTGCAATAAGTCTTATTTTACCAAGAAATTTATTTTCCACTAATTACGTTGTAACTATTAGTGGCTGACGTTATAGATATTTGCAATATCTCTCTAATAATAATAATAATGGGTATTTAGTAATTTATTTACACTATTGACTAATTAGTAGTTACCTTTTTAAAACCTTTTAAAATATGATTTTTTAATCAATGTGTAAAGTGTTGTACCGAAATAGTGGCTACTCAAAATGGAGCGTATCAAAAGAGCGCCTGAAAGAAATAGTGGGTATAAAAAAAGCCAGTCAAAACAGCTTGCAAACGAAACGGCGTCTTTTGAAATAGTGAGTATTGAAATAGGATCAGTCTGAACAGTTTTGTCATGAAATACTGCCGAACAAAATAAGGTTTCAAAATAGTGCTATTGTTTTTACAAAAATTGATTAAAAAACTGTGCGAAAAATAAAACAAAACTTAACTAACTTACCTAACCTGTGAGGGGCCTGGAGCCATTTGAAATTAAACGATCGTTAGTACACAGGTATTTTTTTTTATTTTCTCACAATATACATAATTTTTGCTCTTTTGATAATAAAGGTTTTTTCGTTCAGGCGCTCTTTTGATAATAACTATTTTGTAATAGAGCTGAAAAACTATGATTATAAATAGCGCTAAATTGATGAGGCATTGTTAAAGTAAAATTGATTCTTATGTTTACATTGTATAGAAATGATTACTTTGCTTACAAGATGATTAATGGTGACACAGTAGAAAGTATTTCAAAAACAAGAGAATATAATATTAACCCAATCAGTTTGGGTGATGACATCCAACCAGTTATACTCTCACTACATTCCGATTCAGACAATGATACAAATAACATTTTCGACTTTTTCTATAATTCCAGTATATAAATATTGTGTCAAATTATTATTTGTTTAATATTTTCATGAGTTACTGGTAAACATATTTTACTATACAGTTCTTGAGATATTGCAGTATCTGTAGACATTGATTTATTGGTAAATAATAGTGTATCACTCTGCAGTTTCTTTTCAATTAAAACTGTAAACTAGTAATTATCTCCATTATGAAGAATATTTTTGGGATTTTAAAAATAGTAACTATACTGGTTTAAATAATTTTCTAGAGAGAACTCTCAACATTATGTTTAATTCATGTACGATTGACATGACTTACACATTTTAATTCCTATAAAAAGATTTAGAACCTCCAACTATCCCAATTGGTTTTCTGGCGAACTCATAAACCTAATTAAACAAAAAAGACATTCACAAATGTTATAAAACATCTGGAAACTTCATTCATTATCATCAGTTTTCTGAACTCAGGGGTCGCTGTTGACAAGTACGTAATGAGTGCTTCAACAGATTTATATCTAAACTTAAGAAAAATATAAGATCAGATACCAAAAACTTTTGGAAATATTACAATAATTTAAGGGGCAACTACTGTTTACCTACTACCATGCATTATGAAGAAAAGCAAGAAAATTGTAACAATGATACCGTTAATTTGTTTTCTTAATTTTTCTCAACTGTCATGAACACCCTAACCAAATTCCGGTTTATATATTCAAAAATGATTATGTTAATGTTACTAATTAATATTAATATTAAAGAGATCATCGATAATATTATGTCCAACCCTTATAAACTTTCATATGGTCCTGATGGAATTCCACTGTTTCTTCTAAAAAAAATGTACTTTCACAATAGCAAAACCTTTACACTATTTATTCAATTTATCACTATCTTCAGGAGTATTCCCTGTGTTCTGGAAGGAAAGCTTTCTTAGCCCAATTTACAAGAGTGGCAGCAAAGATATAAAAAAATACAGACCTATTTGCAGTCGGAAATTCCAAACTTACTTGAATGTATTGTTTCAAAAAATTGTCAAGGAACACTAAATCTATAATAGTGAGCAACATGGATTTATGCCTGGTAAATCTACAACTACAAATCTAGTGCTTTATAAAAAATTTATAATTGGTGCTTTTGAAGAGCACTCTCAGGTTAACCATGCACTCTTGCTAGCAAAACTCAACTCCATAGAAATAGTTGGCTCAATGATTTCATGGCTGGACAGTTATCTTCAAGGACATACTCAGTATGTAAGATATGGGGGCTTCATATCATCTGCGATATCGGTACCATCAGATGTACCACAAGGGTCACATTTAGGTCCTTTATTATTTAATCTATTCACAAACGATGTAGCAGAGGTTATAGTTTGCTCACAAATGTCTATTTTAGCAGACGATTTTAAATTCTATGTATAGCTATTAAAACAATCGAGGATGCCAGACTGCTCTAATCTGATATAGATAATCTTGATAGATGGTGTAAAATAAATCTACTTAAACTAAACCCAAGAAAATGTCATCAAATGACTTTCCATAGAAACAAAAATCTTGTTCAATTCAATTATACATTAGACCAGTATTTCTCAAACTTTTTTGGCGATAGAACCCTTCCGACAAACGAAATATTTGACGGAGCCCTAAAAAAAAGACCTCAAGCAAGATCAGATCCTTTCTTAGTGATATCAAAAAAAAGGTCCTCCGAACTTCCTCATAGTACTCATGTAGTATTTTCTTTTTATTATAAATATTATTTTCGCGCGGAGCCCCACGGAGGCTTTGCGGAACCGCAGGGCTCCGCGAAGCATACTTTGAGAAACACTGCATTAGACAATCATCCACTTCATAAAGTTGATACTATAAAAAATCTTCGTGTTACATTTGGCCCCAAGTTGTCATGTCAATATCATTATTGCTTAATTACTTCCAAGGCATTTAAATTGTTGGGATTTATCATGAGATCATCCAAACATTTTTCAACATATTCGGTAAAATTATTATATTGTTCGTTGGTGAGATCTAATGTTGAATATAATTACATCTTATGGAATACCTATTGCCAACGGGACATAGATTTAAATTTGCTGCATATTTATTTATTTTATTTATTCCTCAGTAGGAATATAAAATACAACAAAAATTAAAAAAATAAATATTAACATGAAAAACTTAAAATTAGCATATTATTTATCTCACATTATAAGTGAGTACACGCTTGTATTGTGTGGTGAGAAAAAAAATAGTATGGAATCAAAACATAGATAAATAGATATCAGAAATGAAAAAATAAGAACCAAACATTTACAATACATACAATATAAAATGTGGAGCATGAAGAAATCCAAATTAGAAATTTGCTATATATATTATTGTGGGTAGAAGTAATAAATATGAAATTTTTATGTTTCTATAATCCTCAAGAAGTCCCTGTAGTTATTGTATATACAGTGAGCATCATAAGTCTTACCCCCCTATCTAACTCGTTACTGGAGTCTTGTTAGGAAAACTGCCGAGACACGTCGATTTTTGATTTCTACAATGTACATATTTGTATGAATAGTTTACCCTTAATTGCATCCCTTCCTGGAGGGGAGCAACCATTTCGAAAAATTTAAATGGCATGAGGTGGTGATAGCTCTATTCAACGGTGAAAAAATTTTGAAATTTGCTTCATTAATTCTCGACTAATTATTGTTTCAAAATAACAGAAAGTAACATAGCGCACTCATCCTTAGAATTAAAATTCGACCCTGCATGATATCGGTTTTGGTTCAGATGTGAAGTAAGACTTTTGCCATTATATAAGGTCACTGTTAGTTTAGTTGCTTTCCTATTTGTGATGTTTTGTTATTTTTAAACATTAATAAATCAACACGTAAATTTCAAATTTTTTTGTATGGTTGAATAGAGAATAAAACCCCCTTTCAAATGAGCTATCACTCACCACCCCATGCCATTTAAAATTTTCGAAAGGGTTGAAATTAAGGATAAACTATTCATACAAAAATGTACATTGTAGAAATCAAAAATCGACGTGTCTTGGCGATTTTCCTAACAATACTCCAGTAACGAGTTAGTTAGGGGGTAAGACTTATGATGCTCACTGTATTGTTTTGCTAGCTGAAGTGGATTTCTTGAGGTTAATACATTTTCGAATGGCAAGAGGTAAGCTTTAGGTAGAATGTATGTTACAAAATGGTGACTAATGTTCTTGTTAATGTTAAGTGATGTAACAAGTAGCTGGTTCATGGTGCCCTGTGTACTATATATAAATGATTGAATGCTTGCTGACAATGACCACTCTTATAGGCAAATGTTAAAATCGTTAGAAAATATAAAGACTGAATATTAGATATTTCTGGAGAATACAATGCATTTGTCAAGGATCGTTTTTTTCGTCTAAAGATAATTTTCAAGATGTAATTCTGTATCACTTTGAGATTTTGTAGAGCGTTTTCATACAGACCGCCCCACACTAGTATTCCATATTCTAGGAGTGACTCCACGAGTGATTTGTAAATTATAAGCAAGAGTTTGATTGACAGTATCTCTCTCAGTATATATAATTTGTAGACAAGCTTTCTGAGTTTTGTTGTTAAGTAGCTGATGTGAGTTTCCCACCTGAGATTTTTCTCAATTAAAACTCCTTAAGAATTTGATCTGACTGACTTCAGTGATGGTTTTGTTCAGATTTGTGAAGCTGATATTCTGGAACTCAGGTCTATTCGCATTAACAAAAGCTATATAATGTGTTTTTTCAACATTTAATGATAGCTGGAAAGCATTTAACCAATTATTTATTATGTTAAGTTCTCTCTGAGCATATAATTTAGCTTGTAGCCAAGTATCAGCCTCGAATAGGATTACAGTGTCATCAGCATAGGAAATAATTTTAGCATTTGATAGTAAAAGCATTGAATTGATGTAGAGTATAAAGAGTATTGGCCAAGTTCTGTTCCTTGAGGTACTCCTGTCTTGACGGAAGTTGGAAGACTTAGTGAGTCATTGATTTTAACCTGTTGTTGTTTATTTTCTAAATAATGGCTGAAAACATTCAACACAGATCCTCCAATCCCATTTGTTTCAAGAACAGAAAGAAGTTCTGGTGGTTTACTGTGTCGAATGCTTTCGCCAGGTCTAGAAAGATCTATATACATTTTTTACTTTTATCGAGTTGGCTCACAATTTCATTCACTATAAGATGGGTATTTCTAGTGGAAGTAGTAATTACAATATTTTACTAAAGCTTAACTTGAATTCTCTTGAGCATCGTAAAACAGAATTAGCACTATGCTTTCTTCATAAGTTACTAAATTATAGAATTTGTTTTCCAGATTTATTGAGGCTAAACAGAAGAATGCGCCTATCAGAATTATTTAGCATTCCATTCTACAGATTATGCTCAACATTAAACTATTTCTAAAATACCTAGGGTTGCTAATAATCACAATGATAACTTGGAAATATTCAACTAATCTTTACAGTCTTTTAAGCACCAGATTAGAAACACACTTTTTTAACTATTTTTTCTCTTTCATCCTTTTTATTCTTATATTTTTTTTACTATTATTATATAATTAATGCTTATAATGTCTGTTTGATATTAATATTTTTTCTCTTTTTCTTATACATATTGTATCTTTTTTTTTTGTAAAATGGTATATCCATAAATAAATGTGGTGAAATTGTAGGAAAGATATGTAATAAATGCGCATGTAAGTTCATCTGATGCAACATTACCAGATTGTGATTAATATAATATAGAATAATATTGAATAAGTAAAATTAACAAATAAATTTAAAAAAATTTACTGGTTACTGAAGGTATTCCATTCCACACCCTAATTTTCCTGTATAGAAGATAAATAAAAGACGAATTGGAAAAATATTAAATAATAATTATTGACTCAATAAAGAATGAATATTCTTTATATAAAATGACTTGACATTTATACAAGCCGTTTAGTTGGTAAATATTGTACAACATTCAACTATCTGAAATAATAATTCATCTTTTCCACCCATTTTAATGTGTAAAATTTACAATAAAAAACACTTCATAATTAATAACACACAGAAAGCCACAATTAAAAACAACTAAAAATAAACAGGATGTGCATTTATTCCATGGTAAAATGTACACACCTCTCCTACAACTTTACCCAAAATTTGAATTGTCGTAATCTGGTTCTATGCCAATTTTTTAATATTTCTTAAGGATGATTTATAAATATCTGATTTGGTATAGTTATATTGCTCTATTTACCTGTAATAATTGTAAGCTATTGCCAGAAAATTGATTAGGGTTTGAATCAATATATTCTCGTAGTTTGTTTAAGTCTTCTAAGGCAGAATCCCAGTTTTGATATAGAATTTCTGATGCAAACTTTCCCCATAGAACACTGAGGTAGTTTTTATCATTTGGAGGCAATACCAATAAGCAGAAGTACAAGTATGAGGTAGATACAGAGTAATTACCACATTCATATCTATATTTGGCTAGCTTGTGCAGGCTATCTATCATTTCAATTTCAAACTAAAAACAAATTAAATTAATTAACAATCTTCAACATTATGCAATTATTTAAAATACCTTATAATCCTTAGACAAAAAGTTAATCAATGTTTTAGAATCTCTCATGCTTTCCATGTTTTTCATTACTTCTTCGTCAGTTATAACAGTCAATATAGGTTCAACCTCTTGTTGCAGCTCCTGAAGTTGAGAGACAACATGGCTACGTCTTTGCTTTAAATCATCGGGTATCTCATCATCAGGATACAGCTGCTTTCTAATATCGATAGCATAATCTATCATATTAGTTTTACTCAAAATATCTAATTTAGCTTTTAAGAGTTCGGTTTCATTGTAAATCTAGAAGAACCGTAAAATAAAATCACATTTGCTCAAAAACGTAACCCTACTTACTCCTTTAGCAGACAGAAACTCCAATAACGGGAAAACCAAATGTCGGTCTAAATACTGACCCATTTTGGGTGTCAAATCAAACTTTGCCATGATTACTTTTTTTCTTAAAACTTATTATTTTTCTATATTTATTTTAACAAAACCCTAAAAAATAAGGCAATCTGTTGAAAAGGAAGCTCTAATAGGCAACCCGCCTCACTCTCACTCAAGACTAAACATGTGTCAGTGTCAGTTGTCAGTGTTCTTCTTTTTTTGATATATCAGACCATAGACTATTTGGATGTTTAGTGTATATGAAACTCGTTCAGATACTTTTAAAATGATTCTTACTGAAATATGTAAATTAATAAAACATTGTAAGTGCATTCATGAGTTCAAAAGTAATAATAATATTTTAACAACAAAACTACTAGGTAGATAAAATCATTTTGTAATCTCTGTATACAGAAAACGGAGAAGGCCAAAATTAATTTTTTATTTTGATATGTGAATGTAGACTTTTGACATTGACATATTGATAGTGGAAAATATATTTGTCAATTTTTAATTTTACAATTTTTAGCAAAAATATAAAAGAAAGATCCATTTTTAAAACACAAAAACTACAATATATTAAAAATTATGGCTTCATCTTCATTAGAAAATCTAGAAACACAACTGGAAATGTTTATAGAAAATGTGCGTCAAATCCATATTATTGTTAGCGATTTTCAACCTCAAAGCCAAAATGTCCTGAATCAAAAACTGTAAGTGCAATTCAACTAACAAATAATATTTTAATTGCTAATTAATTTTTCAGACAAGCTTTGGTCCATGGTTTACAAGAAGTTGACAAATTAAAATCTCAGGTCCAAGATGTACATGTACCCTTGGAAGTTTTTGAGTATGAATTTATTTTTAATTATTGTGATAGTGTTGATTAAACTTTAATTTATTTTCAGTTATATCGACCAAGGGCGCAACCCACAGTTGTACACCAAAGATTGTATAGAGAAAGCTTTGGCCAAAAATGAACAAGTTAAAGGAAAAATAGATGCTTACAGAAAATTCAAAGCTAACATGTTAGTTGAGCTAAGTAGGACATTTCCCAATGAATTGAGCAAATATAGGGCTTTGCGTGCAGATGAATAATTGACAGTTTTTAATCACAATAAAAGAGAATCTAAGTACACTATTGAATTAATAGGTACTGCATATAATTTAATATTAATAATAGACTTTTAAGAATGTATTAATTAAAATGTGTTTTATTGATTGTTATGCATGTGTCTTAACATGTTATTGTATTATGAAATCATTGAAAATCCTGTTTTTAAAATAACTGCATTGTTCATATTCCAAAGGACACCAGAAGGTTAATAAGAAAAGAAATAGGATATCTGTCCATTCACTAATTTAAAATTTACAAGATTGATCTAAATGAGAATAAAAACTGTCCTTTTATAAAAGATAATTTTTGTGGTTTTGACAATTTATTATTTCATCAGGATATTGTATTTTCATATATTAAGCATTATGTACAATGTACAGAATTTTTGTAGCTAAGTATAAAGAATGATTTTATACATTTTTTAAATGATTTTGTATGTGGTCTGAATAAAGAAAATTGAAAATCCTTTAGCTATATTACAATTTTTTTCAATTTTAATTTAACTATTATCTAAAAATGTAATTCCATAAAACTACTGTGAGTAATATCCACAGAAATTATGGAACATTTACGTTTGGTGGTATTGCAGAATGTTAATTGTTAAATACATAAATAGGGTTGGAAAAATGAGTAAAAAATCAGATTTCGGGCTTTACATGACAAGTATCAAAAAAAGGCTGAAGCTCTGACTATGTTTTTTGGATGCACATTTTGATATTCTATTTTCTGTGACATCACTATTAGAGGTATATTATGACTATGAAGACTAGTCTTCATAATTATGACAGGTCATCACCAGTTTTTTGAATGGTAAAACTTTTTTGATAGTACCTAACAATTAAAAAAACATTTTTTGCATTTTTCGCGATATGCTACAATAATAAATGAGATAAATAGTTTTTATTCATAACATTGTACTTTAAAATTAATAAAAAATATTTAAAGAAACTATTTGGATATAGGGTGTTCCAGAATAATGTGCCGTAAACAGATCTTAACTAATTAATAAGAAAAGCTAAATGTAATTTCATGTAAACTTTCAAGTTTTCATTCTACAGGGTGATAAAGTTAATTTTATAAATATCTTCCCATACAGAAAACATTGTAACTTAAAAACATGTTGACTCGATATGTTTCTTGGCAAAATTAGACTTTCTCTCTGAATTTTTTATATTTTGAATTAATTTTAGTTTTTGTATTTTCACATTAAAATGGACACATAAGCTTTCGACCTCTGTCCTTATTTATTTGCAATAATAGTAATATACATGTTTAACTAACACTCTATTTCGATAAATAATGGCAACCCTTTGGTGTAGAATCAAGGGCTAAGAAAACAATTTTAATCCACATTTTTTGAACACCCTATATTTCATAAAAGTTAAGATTAATAAATATTCCTCGCGCAATTTGCCACAAAAAAGGGACACTTGGCTGATCTCTGTAGAACATTCGATTTTCGAGATTTTTTCTTTTTAGTCCTACTCAAACATGAAATCTATGGACAATTTGATCAAAGGCCGATTTCATAATGAATATATTAAAAGGTCTATTGACTAATGGGATCAAGACTCAATAAAAATTTGAATTTTTGGAATTATATAATGGACATAGCTTTCATGTGTTGGTAGGTTCTAAAACTGAAAAATCTCGGAAATGGAATGTTTTACAAAGATCAACCAAGAGTCCCTTTTTGTGACGAATTGCGAGATGAATAATTATTAATCTTTACTTTTAGTAAATATATAGGGCGTTCAAAAAATTTGGATCAAAATTGTTTTCTTGGGCCTTGGATTATACGCCAATGGGTATTCGTTAATTCATCCAAATAACGTGTCATAATTAATAATGATAATTAACAAGTAGGTACCCAGACAACACACCAAATACCAGAGATATCCACAGAATTTCTTTTGTGGATATCCAATATATCTACAGGATTATCAGAAATATTCTGTGGATCTAATATGGATATCCAAATGTCCGTCTATATCCAGAATATAGAAGATATCCTAATGGATATTCAGCAAAATATCTAATAGGTATCTTCCAGAAAATACAAGAAATCCCAGAGATATCCACAGAATATATTTTGTGGATATTCAATATATCCAATATATGGATATCCAACCAAATGTCCGTTTATATACCAGGATATAGAAGATATTCAGCAAAATATTTTATGGGTATCTTTAGTAGAGGTTCATAAGTAACCAATAATTATTGAATAACGTCGAAAGAAAATAGCAGAGATAAAAAATATTTTCAACACTCTGCCTTTCATTTTGCCCACTAAGGAGAAAATCATCCTTATTAGGACTCTTCAGCAATAAATGAAAATTCTCGACTCCAGTCTCTAATGGAGTGATTAGTACACAAATTTCGATCGAACTCAATTACGCCGGGTAGAGCATGAGTAGATGCGATAGTGGTATCGCCATCTATACTTAGTAAGCAGAATCAAATAACATCTAGTGGATATCCACGATGGTTTGCGTTCGCGCCTAGACTTTGATATATTTAGTGGATGTTCATGGGATATTGAATACACCTTAAAAAAATTAATTTTAAATATCTGAACGGTACTATTAGCCACAATGGCGTAATTTTTTAATAATTTACTATATAATTACTATTTATGAACATTTGCATGTCTATAAATTACATTTCATGGATATAAAATAGATATCTACCATGGACTGGACATTCAGTGGATATTGGGATGTTCAGTAGATATCCAAAGGATTTGGTGTGCTGTCTGGGTACATGTTTTTAAGTTAAAGTATTTACCGTAAAGGAAGATATTTAGAAAACTATGTATTTATGAAATTCATTTTATCACCCTCTGTAGAATGAAAACTGGGACGTTTACAAGTAAATTATGTTTAGCTTTTCTTAATAATTATTATATAATTATTAAAATCTAAAAGTTTTACAGTTTTTGGTACTTTATTCTGAAACACCCTGTATATACTTTTTGATACAAAATGTAATGCCTCCTCTTGATAAGAGGCCTCTTGGCGACCAAGAAGCTGGCTCTGTACTCGGACACCTCTTGGTAACGCAGAGGTCGGGTTGTCGCGTATATCTCTTTGAGCGTGAGAGGCTGCGATTGCCCCCTGGATGATTCACAATGGGCCTAGTGAGGCTAAGTAATGTGGAGTAATCCCACTCTCTGTACCTTACAGATATTGTTAAGAATAACGTTTTGTAAGAATTTTTTTCACCAAAATATAATGTAGGTATTACTAATTTTAGCGACCATACACGCAATAATTATGTTTATTGGTATCTTATATATGGGCGGTTCCAAGGGGGGGGGGGGGGGCTATGGGGGCCATGCCCCTCTTCCCCCGATATGAAAACTTACGATTTATGGGCCTTTTATTCAAAAAAATATGCTAAAAAGGGAATGGCTAAAGGCATACTAAATACTAGGTAAAAGCTACAGACGCGAGGTTAGAATAAGTTCCCCCGAGGTAGGTATTTGTACAAATTTACTAACAAATCTACTAAAGTTATTGCGCCTTGCAAAATCAAATTTTATTTGATAGCGTTTGGTATAATTTTTTTATATATATCGAATGAGAATGATATCAGTAATTTTTAATTAAACATAGTAAATTAAATTTGGTTGATTCAAATTGTAGGCGTATTTTCGAAATTTAATGTGATATATATGGTACACACGCGGGCAGATAAATTTATTAAATTAAAACTCAATTTTTATTTGTAATATAATTTATTGTACCTTCCTAGTTTTTTGTTGTATTAGACTTTTGAACAAATATTATTCTTATTATTACAATTATATCTTGGTACACGTTTAAATTAAATATGCTTTCCCAAGTTTTATAGGTAGTTGGAAAATATTTGTACATACTTATTTTTAAAGTTAAAATATCGTATTTGAAATGTAGGTATATATTTTAAATTTGCAGTTATTTTTTATAATGTACCTATATAGATACTACTTATAGGTAGGTACCCATATAATATTATTTGTAAGTACTCCTAGAGGTATATAAGCGTATACAATGTATGATTTATTATAATTTATAAAATATTAAAAATCTGATGCGTCAAACACATGACTTTTCTGTCTAGTTATTACAGGTTTTTTCGGTTATTTTGTACAACCTACCTATAATGTCTTATATTGTGTGTATCACCCTTGTAAATGTTTATATATATTTTCCACACATCTTACTGGAAACTTTTTTTTTTATAATATTACCTCTGATATTACCAACGAAAATACTGAAAAATAAAAATATACACTTGTCCTCAAATTTTTTCATTATGGCCCGTTTTAGAGAAATCATGTGTAGAACAACAAGTGTAAATTAAAAATTTAAAAAAACCGACTTCAAAAACGTGCAGATGCCATCACCACATCTTAACCAAATTTATATGGGATCACCCCTGAGGTACCCCCTTACTAACAAAAAAAGAATCATATAAATCGGAAAAGGTGGTAAAGCATTACCGCTAAACATACATAAAAAATGAAGAGTTTGAGGATTTTCTCATGGATACAATTATCAGATTTTGACCAAATTTATATGGGACCACCCCTAAAGTAGCCCCTTTCTAACAAAAAAAGAATTATTGAAATCGGACACCGTGTTAACAAATTATCGCTGAACATACATAAAAAATGAAGAGTTTGAGGATTTTCTCATGGACCCAATTATTAGATTTTGACTAAATTTATATGGGACCACCCCTGAAATACCCCCTTTTTAACAAAAAAAGAATTATTGAAATCGGACACCGTGTTAAAGAATAATCGCTAAACATACATAAAAAAAAAAAAAAAAAAATCGCGACGAATTGATAACCTCCTCCTTTTTTGAAGTCGGTTAAAAAAGATAGAGAATATATATGACATCACAAACAACTTTTATTTTAACAATTTGTCAAATTTCTCGAATTCGGACCATTTTAAGAAAATTATAGAGAATAACATTACAAGCAACTTTTATTTAAAGATCTTCTCCAAGCGTAAATATAACATATACTCCATAAAGTAGAAAAATGACACTCTATATAAAGTACTCCCCCCAGATGTTCCCGCTATGCTCAAAATAATAATGATCTCACCGCAGAATGGATTAGGTATAAAGCTTAAGTTTAAAAATTGGTGTTTTCTCTGTATCCGCTCATTAATTATCGACTATATACAGTTACACATACACAGACATTGCAAAAATAGTCAAAATGGATTAAGGGGACCCCAAAACGAAACAATCCGTCGAAAAAATCATGATTTCTATAGGTACTTTTCTTGTGTATATACAGACAGGAAAGTAAAAATTAGATACTCAAAATAACAAGTAAATGGTTGATCTGAATAATTTTAAATATTTTGAAGTCAGCAAGTGCCTAAGTACAAATCGCTGTACCTACAAATACGTAATTTAAGAGATTCCAAAATATGCCTGACAATGCAGCGGGCCGAGCCCGTAGTGAGCACAAAGTTCAAAAAGCTAACTCAACGCGCTTCACTTGACTTGACATGACATTTTCGAACATCAAACAGCTGATGAGAAGGTTGATGTAGCACGTAGCAACTTTACTGAAGATTATTGAAGGCTCAGGGGCAATAAAGAACCGTAGTCAATGTCAATAACTCCTGTTTTTCTGTGTTAAAGATAATTAGCTACCAAGATTGATATAGACTATCCTTTTACAACCATTTAACTTTACGCGCATGGGCTGATAGCAAATTCTTGTTGACATTTCAAAAATTATATATTCATCGAATCCCTCTGGCATGGTAGTCAGTGGTCGGAGTTCGTTGTTTTACCCGGTGGCATGGTAGATAGTGTTGTGAACTAATAAGAACATAAAAACTACTCTTAAAAGAAAAATACAAAATGATTGAAGGTTATGGACCAGTAATGCAAGCCTTCTTGGGCACCCTCTTCACATGGGCCATGACAGCTGCTGGAGCCGCTGTTTGTATCTTTGTACGAGGCTCACAGGTTAGGACATAACCTCAACATGTAAACAAAATCAATTCCATCATCTTTTCATTCATCTTTTTGGGATAATACATACAGACATACATTTGTTAGTTAACTACTTTGAGTTGTTTTTATGTGATAGTATCTTCTCTTTCATTTCATCTACTACTTAATTGTTAATATTCTATTATTTTGTGTTAATAATTGTTTTATACTTATACCATCATTTTGATCAATTAAATCATGGCTAAATATGTGGTATAAATTCATAATAGCAGTTAGTAAACGAGAAGCAAATAAATTAATAAGTCACCCTCTTATTAGTGAATTTCAAACCCCTGAAACCGACTGAGCTTGTGTGGGGAAGGGATGGCTAATATTATTATTTGCCATGGTACTGCAGGGCATCTTAAAGATGATACAGATGAGGAAAACCTCACCCATCATCCTACCTATGCCCTTTTATTTGTAGCTAATAGGTATTTCTTCGTATTTAAATAAATTCGATTTTTATTATGTTTAATTTATTTAGGTATGATAGATTTGGTCCTTCACACTTGTAAGAAATATTGGATCAAAAACATATTTAACAATAATATCTCCAAATTCTTTTAATATCTGAATAAAATATTCTAATGGCTTCAAGTGAACTACCATTGATATTTTTTATTTTTTTGTCCCATAATGAACCCGAATAGTTCAATAGTCTACAACTTCTTTGCTATGAATGACAACCTGTTTCACAAGTTTTTGGAGGACGGATTTATAACATGTTCAAAGAATTTAAATTCTTAAATTTTATCATTTATTATTCATAAAATGGGTTATCCCTTATACATAGTAAACATGGTGAATTTCTTAAACAATTAAGCTAAACTACTTAATCTTTTCAAAAACAAATGCAAATTTATTTAAATAAATATTTTGTGTGGAGATATTTAAGTCGAATAACAACTTAATTCTTGTTGATAAAAAATAATACTATAAAATATAGATAGATATAAAATTATAAATATTCTAAACTACATTCTTGTTAGAATTTGCTTGCTAAATATTTGTTTATACATTTCACAGAATGTTTAATGATCCACTATTGTTTGAAATATACAGATATGAATACTTTCAATTGATTTTTTTACAATTTAAGGACATGTGTACCTGCTTATTTTTTAATTATTTATAAATAAGTATAAGTATCTAGTAGTATAATAAATTATACAGCTCATGCATGTGATTTTTTGGCAATTAATCCCAATATTTACTTTTTTAAATCATTGTCAATAAATAATGAGGATACTTAAGAAATAATAAATATACATTTATTGATTGACTAGTGAAAACATTTAAATTTGCTTTACTTAAATGCTTAACTTAGTCCATTTATTAAGCCTGATAAAACAAGTCTATCATTTTTTAACATATCTTGTTTTTTAATATCTCTATAGCATATCTTTTTTGTTTTACTGATTTTTTTTAAGAAAAATTGAAAAAAAAATGTACATATTTATACAAATATTTGCTTAGATCAGAAGGTAATTCATCAATTTGTATTGACACAATATAAAATATCTATTATAGAATGGGTCATCAAATCTGTATTAGTCTTCAAAAAAGACCATAAATTATTAAATCAATGCAGCAATCAAATATACTACTGCAAAATTCACTTGATAATAATATTTATGATTCGGGTCCTTTTAATTCTCATGGGAGTTTTATTAAGCAATAAATACCTGACAAAGCTTACTTTCCTTATTTTATACTTTTACAGGTCCAATTTTTAAATAATTAAAAAAACCCCTTTTTACATAGCACTTTACACAGTTTTTACCACCATTTCATATGGGTGGCACAAAATTGATCGAAAACAGTTGATCAAATTTATTTGATTGAAAAAACATTTTATTAAATAATAAATCGAAAGAAAAAATTGTCAAAAAGAAAAATGATCGAAAAGAAAATTGATCGAAAATATATTTGATAGAAAAAACAATTGATCGAAAATCAAATATACATAAAAACAGAAAAAAACTCTACTAACTTACCTTACACCTAGATCCATCGCTGGTTGCTTCGCAAAAAAATAACCTAACCAATTTACCTAACCTGTACGAGAGCAATCAGTTAAATTTAAATGGCTCCAGGCCGCACAGGTTAGGTAAATTATTTGTTTTTTAAATTTTTTTCATTTGTATATTTTTTTGCGAAGCGACTCTCGACGGCTCCAGACCGCACAGGTTAGGTAAATTAATTCAGATTTTTTTTAATCGTTCTCATTTTTGTATAATTTTTTTGCGAGGCAAACTGCGACGGCTCCAGGCCTCACAGGTTAGGTAAAGTTTTATATAAAAAAACTTACTGAAATGCATATTTTGTACAAGTTAATCATAATGCTTTAATCTCAATGACGATAAATACTCCTTTAGCTTTAAAAATATTAATTTTTAAATTGACAGTATTGTAAGGATAAAATTTGTTAAATGAGGCAGCTATCGTTTTAGATTATCGAAAAATTTGCCATTAGTAACTAATTTGACGATAGCCGCTGAGTTTATTTTCCCGGGTAATGGGGCTTAGACGGACGGTTGCATGGTGTCGTTAGACTTTTTTTTTATATTTTCGATCTAATGAATTTTAGATGTATTGTCTTTTCGATTTAATATATCTTCGATCCAATGTCATTCGGCAAAATGCATTTTCGATCAAATTTCCAATTCGATCAAATGTTTTTTGATCAATTTTGTGCCACTCATTTCATATGACACCATTCGACCATTGCCAAATGTCCTGATGGCCGATGAAAGGTAGTCTAATCACTAATCAGTTACCTTCCGTAAGAGTTAACCGAACACCTTGATCATTTATAGTTCCTTTTTAGCCTTTTAGACCAGGGTCGATAATTTTTGAAACAAAAAAAAATAATAGTAGGATGAAACCTGTTAAAAAAGGACGAGAATATAACAAAAATCAAAGGAAAAATAATTTACGGGCGATCTGAGGTCGGGAAGTGGAAGGGGGTGAGTTTTTAAGGGTAAAAAACGGTGTATCTCGATTTCCGGCAAAACTACAAGTCCTATGGAAAAATATTAAATGACAAAGTTGTAGGTAATAAAGAGACCTACAACTTTTGTGATTACACTTTTTTCACATAACCTCAAAATTTATGTGAAAAATTCAAATAATCAAGTTTTTGGTTTTTTATTTTTATCTCATGCAAAAAAAAAATTTTTTTCTCGAAATTTGGTGAAAACTTACTTTTATGTCCTAAAGACAATGTAATTTTTTTGATTTGAAATATTTATTTTTTCACCTTATTTTGACTTAATATCGAAAAAACACCCTAATTTTCAATCCAAAATTCTCGCGTCAAAATATCAGCTTTTTAAAAAAGTTGGGGAGTTTTTTGTTCGTTGAAATCTCCTTTCTGATAATGTAAAAAAATATATACATAATACATAACTATGGTAAATGTTCTCAGAAAATGCAAAGTAAAGAAAAAAACTCGAATCCGATTTTTTTTTTAATCACTATGTACAATTTTGAGCTATTTAGTAAAATTGACACTTTAATTACTTGAAAAACGTCAGATTCTATGTTACGTTGATAAACAAAAAAATTACAAATCCATAAATCATAAAAATTGCAAGAAACATGCGAAAATAGTTGTTCTAAATATTAAAGATAGGATTTAAAGGGGGGATTTCAATGGGCCATGTTCACATGTGAGATATGCTGTTTTATAAATTATATTGTAATAGTTAGTCGCTATACAAGTTATTCTAAATAGTCAGTTCGTTAAAAAAGCCAAAAGTTTTTAAATTAAGCCCAATTGAAATTTAAAATTTGAAATTATACGTCATCGGGAATAGACCAATCATCTTGTGTCGAAGTTTTTTTTGTTATACAAAACCAAGCCAACGAACAAACCGACAAACAGAATGTCGAAGTGAACGCACATCTAAGTGACATTAAAATTGACACCACCTAACCTTAGTTTTTTGTTTTGGTTTAATTTTATTATTAATATGAAAATCAGCTGGATTTATAAAAGTTGAATCAAGTGTTTTACCCATTGTAAACGAAAATATGATTACCGAAATGATTACTGCATTTTTTAACAATACTCAGTTTACAAAATTCAGAAAGGTAAGACTTTGTTTTAATAGTAGGTAGTTACAGTTTATATGGAGCAAGTAAAACATATTTTTCCTACGACCACTTAGGAAAGTGACACATATCACACTATATAGTCCTATGGAAAGTGTCCTATATCACACGCGTATGACTAAGAATTTACTTTCCACCCAAGTGAGAATATGTTACTTTCCGCAGTAGTTGTCAAAAAATGTCAAACACCTAATTTCTATTTTGATCTATGTAATGTCCATATTAATACTAAAATCGATATGATTGTTAAATTATTGAAATTGTTTTAAATTAGATCCTAGATATTTGTCTTTAACAATTATTATTAAAATAATTTTAAAATAACTAAGATTATGTTTGCTCTTTAATTTGGGTAAATACATAACCGATTAGATCATTCAATTGACGTAAGGCCCATTAGCTCAGTTGGTTTGGACGTCGAACTTATCAACTTTGCCATTTTTCGACCGCGTTCAATCTATGGTTCAAATCCTGGCGGAGCAGAATTATTTTTGTTTTTTTTTTTTTTTATTTTTTATTAGTTTTTTTTTATTTAGAAAATATGAAAATTGAATAAATACGATTATTGTTGATTATTTTTTTTAAATACATTTTAATTATTATAGTAATAATAACCTTGGTTTTACATTTTTTTGATGACATTATTTTGTGGTCGTAGGAAAAATATTGTACATCACTTGTGTGAAAAGTGATTTTCCACACTCGTGTGATAGTCGCACTCGGCTTGCGCCTCGTGCGACAATATTTCCCACTCGTGTGAAAAATGTCACTTTCCACACTCGTAATGTAATATACTATATCTCCGGTTTTATTTTTAGATCTGCCAAGCAAGAATATGGGGATAATTTCTT